TTAAAGAGAAAAAAGCCATGAATTTGAGGGGGGGGTTGGCATATGTGATATCTGAGTGGGAGGGGTTGGAAAGAAGAGAGGGGGAGGAAAATCAGGTAATTATATTTTAACTAAGTTTTCAAAAGACTGCCATTAAAAAGAAAGGGCCAGAAATGGGCAAAGAATCAGATATTGAAGGAGGAAACAGAGACTGGGGAAACAAGAACACACAAGTGCTCCCTGGCCATGTTTGGCACCCAAAAATCCTTATGTGTTAGAAAGAGTTGGGGAGTAGGGTGCCAGAAATCACATGCTTTGTGTCCAGCAGGGCCAGGAAGAAATGGTGAGTGGTGCCTAGTGGTCCTTAAGTAGACACCTAGAAACAGGCTTTCTGAACTACAAGACCCAGCTCTGAAGATGTCCAGCCCAAACCCGATCCCTTCCATTTCATGGCCACAGTTCTGGAAGTGTGCTAGGTCCAAAAAATGCACAAAGGTTTTTCTGCTCTCTCACCTTCACTGTCTGTCCTTGCCTGCCTCCTTGGTCATACAACCAGGCCAGGGCTTTAGAAAGAAAGAGTGCCAACTGCTGGATCTCCACTGTAGTATCTCTTGTCTGTTCCCTCCTGTTGAAATGTGAGCTCTGAAGAGCAGAAGCCTCATCAGCACTGTCTACTCACAGCCATGTCCCCATCAAAGTAACCAGTGCACAGCCAGCATTAGAGAAATAAGCACAAACTGTGAACAAATAGCCAGCACATAAAGTGGAGACTACCCTCCCCCAACCCCAGCCTCTCATGTTGACCTCAGGCCAGAGGCAACGTCACAGCTGGCACAGAGCAAAACAGGAGGGAGAGGAGCTGGCTTCCAAGTCTGGTTCTGGGCCCTGTGGGACTGTCATGTCACTTGGCCATTCTGCAGTTCTATTGAGGGTTATACACGGTCCCTATGACAGCAAATGAGAATTGGGTGTGAAAAGTTGGCACAGAGTAGTGTGCTCATCTTCTCAGTGCCTCGTCTTGCCCGTCTCCTCCAGCAGAGGAGCTAGGGGGACTGGGTGCTACATCTCCAGGGTTTGGGGGTTAGGTATTCTAGGTGAACAGACTGATTGACAAAGGCAGATTATAGCCCAAAGGGAGAGATGAAGCATCAAGGGGAAGGCACACATGCCAGGACGGGTTCCAGGGATGCCCTTGGAAGGTCTTGTGCCACACCTCCGGCACACCTGGCTGTGGGTAGGAGGAAACCCTCATCATCGTTCACTTGCAGGTGAGATTTAAAGAGATAGGTAACAGGAAGCTTTGGAAAGATAATTTTATTAACTTCTTGAGAAACAGCTGCCACAAGCAAAGACCTGGATAAGGACAGAGATGTGGTGGGTCCCCACTGTTCGCTCCACACCTTTAGAAAGGGTCTAAGTGTGACTCCCAAAAACAACATCTTACATCCTTGCCCTTCAGTGTAGAAACAGATGTGGGCAAGGCAGTCCTTGTTAGACATTGGGTTCTTTTGTTCTGTGTCCATTTCACTGAACAGGAAAATTAACCAATTCCACATTCTAGACATTCAGATCTGGACTGGTCTGGACCATGTTATGGATCATTGACCAGGAACATGACCTTCTGAGTTACCAATCAGATGTCAAAATTATGGAGGGGCCCCCAGATTCTAGGAAGAAAATTAAGAACCCCTTTTAACTTTCAAGAGATTTTTAGGAGTTATAATCCTGAAGTTTGTTTGTTTGTATATTTGAAGACAGGGTCTCACTATGTAACCATGGCTGACCTTGAACTCACTATGTGAACCAGACTGGCCTCAAACTCACAGTGATTCAACAGCCTCTGCCTCCCAAGTGCTGGGATTAAGGTGTGTACAATCATACCATGCCTTATAACATAAAGAGTTGTTTTTTGTTTTTGTTTTTTGTTTTGTTGTTGTTGTTGTTTGAGACAGGGTTTCTCTGTAGCTTTGGAGGCTGTCCTGGAACTCACTCTGTAGACCAGGCTGGCCTTGAACTCACAGAGATCCACCTGCCTCTGCCTCCCAAGTGCTGGGATTAAAGATGTGCGCCACACTGCCTGGCATAAAGGTTTAAGGCTATATTCCAAATCAACCAGAAATCTGACCTTCTGGGTTGCCAACACGGAGCCAAGTTCTGAGAAGCCAGATAAAAACCACTCCTAACATTTTTAAGGGTTAACAATGAATTCAGCATCCTAGAATGGCAAAATCACAATATTCTAGACAAGGCTGAGATCCAAAATTCTGTCAGTGTCAACTCTCACAATGCCAAACCAGGAGACAAACACTGAAGACTATCTACCTCAGCCTCAGAGCATCCTAGAAGGGCAAACACAAAGCTCCTCCCTCCAGAATGCTGTCTCCCTGCCCCCTCAGAGCTCAGAGGATGGTCTCTCTACAACAGGCCCATCATCTCCGGGTGAGTCTGGCACATGGAAGGAAACATACGGGCAGGTCTTTGTGTTGAGGCATATCAGTTTCTTCAGTGAAGCTGTGTTGACAAGGTTGAAGCCCACATCACCACCGAATGTGCTGGGCTTCCAATATTCTGGGGAACAAATGGGATTTCCTAGAAGACCCTTGAGGGAAAAGGGAGCCCCAATCTCTATCATACTCTCCCCAAAGATGGAGTTGGGCTGGCACTTTTCCAGAAGCAGCCCCGGATAGAACTCTAAAGCGTCGATGTCACCGTATAGCTCCTCCAACTCAGCGGCCATTTCCTTCTCCCCTGCAGAGTGAAAAGCTACAGTCAGAGCCACAGTTTTGTTAAGGTCAACCTGAAGATGAAACCTTCTTGATTCAGTTTTCTCTAGGGATGACAGAGACTCCAGGAGAACAATTTGGGTAACTGGGAAAATGTCCTAAAATTTGCCCCTGCTGGAATCAGAGTATCGTCAGGAAAGAAAGAACAGATAGGTACTTTAACTTGGACAAAAGAGTCTAGAGGCCTAGATCTGTCCCCAAATAGCTTGTGACCTCAAACCACTCACTCCATTCTCTGGTTTTAATTCTTAGACCATCACAACATGAAGAAAATATCCTGTCTTGATTCCCTAGAGAAAGATTTCAAGACCTGTTACTACCCTAGAGTCAAGTCAGGTTCACACAGGTACTCGGGGCCAATCTGCTCTCTGCTTCTTGGAACCCTTTGTCATGAGAGACTAGACAGTCTTCAAGATTACTGTTCCAGGACCATGGGAACTCATCTACTGATCCCAGAACCTGTTCCACTCTGTGACAACTGCATGTCCACAGATGGTGACTGATGAGAGACGGACATGGGACTTCTCCATCCATTCCCTCAAATCTATCCCTCTATGAGGTACAGGAGTGTGTCATACCAGTGGTAATTGAGGGCTCCAATTTGACTGCCCAAAATCTGGGGAATTTTGGGAAAAGAGAGAGAGGGGAGGGAGGGAGGGAGAATAGAGATCTTTTAAGATCTACTTTTAATTATATGTGTATGTCTCTGTGTGAGTACAAACATGAATCAGGTGTCTGTAGCAGCCAGAAGCATCAGATAAGAGTTACAGCCAGTTATGAGCTGCCTGACATGGGTGCTGGGACTTGAACTTGGGTTTTCTGCAAAAGCAGTATGTACTCTTAATTGCTGAGTCATATCTCCCAGCCCCAAATACACAGATTCTTGAGCACCATGAAAACCTACTGAATCATGAGCTCCAGAAGCACTTGGAGGGACTCTCTCTCTCTCTTTCTCTCTCTCTCTCTCTCTCTCTCTCTCTCTGTGTGTGTGTGTGTGTGTGTGTGTGTGTGTGTGTGTGTGTGTATGTGTTTTATTTTGCTGTGTCAAGGGGGTTAAAGCAAGAACCTCATGTATGCTAGGCAAGTTCTAAACCACTGAACTACACCCCCAACCAGATATTCTTTATCATCTTTCTAAGTGGGTATCTAGGAACAATTAGACAGGATAAAACACAGGCCTTCAGCACCTAAGATCCTAGTTCAGTATCAGCCTCCCTTTACCACATAGCATCTCCCAAGACAAGCCCCTTGCTCCAGTAACATCTGTGACTGTCCTCCCAGACAGGTACCAGTTTTTCACTTCTGTGCCTTTGTTCTCCCCCTTGCCATACCTGAAGTTCTCCTCCCTCTATTTTCAACTGGAAAGTTCCTATTTATCCCTCAAAGGCACTTGGAAAGATGACTTTTCCCAGGTAGGCTACTGTCACATTCTCTGCTTCCAATGCTCAGTCACAGTGCTGGCCATCGTCATTGTCCCAGTCTCTCACCTTGTGATTTCCTCACTTCCTGTGCATACCTCAAGGATAGAGACTATGTCCAGGAAGCAGCCACCTACCTGTGAGCTCCTGGAAAGAGGTGTAGGGCTTCATGCCAAACCTCTTTCGATATTCATTGAAGGGCTGTAAGCGCATGTCTCGGGACTCCTTGATGACATCCACGGCCACATGCAGAACATGGTGGTTAAAGTTCCTACCCCCACCAATCTGCCAAGAGATTAGCACAGCTGTCAGTCTAAGAACCAGGCCAGACTCTCCTGTGTACCGGCCTAAAAGAAGAATCCACCGCTACGGTTCTTTCTGAGCCAGCACAGAAAATGCGGTGCAACCCAGTGGTCGTGACAGTACGGTTTGACTCTAGTTCTGCCCTGCCATTCTCACTCTAATGCCTACAGTTTCCCTGCTTCCCCAGCACTAAAGTGTGCAGCACCCCACTCTCTAGTGACTGGAACCCCTTGAGTCACACCAACAGGTAGTGTCATTTTTATTGAAAGGGAGAAAAAGTCCAGATGAAAAAGAAAGATTCCAGATCCCAGGAATTTGTGGGCCTGCCAAGCTCACTTGGCAATCTCCAGGCCAAGTAAGAGATCCTGTCTGAAAAGCCAGTCCTGAGGAGTCACACACACACACACACACACACACACACACACACACAAGACCCCACAAGAAGTCATAATAGTTACGGAGCACCAGTTTAAAAGAAGCTCTACTTCCGCTGAGATCTGTTTTGATAGAACAAGTATAATGGAGCAGGAAAGAAAAACAGTTGAATTGAAATCATATGGCTCAGAGCAAAGCAAACTTGGAACAGCAAGCACAGAATGGCTCCAACCCTAGATCCACTCATGCCAAGCTACATGGCTGGAATTGTGCCCCCCTAAAGATGTACTGTCTAACCTACAGCACCCACAAATGTGACCTTAGCTGAAAATATAATAGTCTGTCCTTGCTGGTGGCTTAGCTTTACATATTTCCCATCACCCACAGGCAATTACAATCTGATAATATTTAACGGAAAATTCTAGAAATAAACAATTCCTAAGTTTCCAGTTGCATTCTATTCTGAGTATCGTGATGAAATCTAATGTAGGCTCTCTCAATCCTGCCCAGGGTGTGAGTCATCCCTCTTTCTAGCATGTCTGTACTACACAAGCTGCCTAGCTTGTCAATCACCTGGCATCTGTTAGTTATCATGTCAACTGTCATATCTGAGTGCTATACCTACGCAGTAAACTAAGCATCATATACCTGTACCATTCATCTCATCCATGTCCTGACATAGACACACTATCAACTCACATTATCCAAAGAGGGACGAATACTGTACACCAGTGAGAAAGACCATGTTATATGCTTTTATTACAGAAAGTTGTTATTCAATTTTTCTATTGTTACTATGTCTCTTACTAGATCTAATTTATAAGTTAAACTTTACCACACTTCTTATGTATAGGAAAAAAGTATGTATATGGTTCAGGACTCTACCATTTAAGACATCCACTTGGAAGGAGATCTTTGGATATATTCCCTATGGAAAAGATACCTATATAGTGTTCACTGGCGTAGATAAAATAAAGTCATGCTTGATTAGGGGAAAGATCCTAATCCAAGAAGTGATGCCTTGGTTTGTGGTGATTTCTTTTTTGTACTCTAACAAATAAAAGCTTGCCTGAAGATCAGAGCATCTGTACAGACATACAGGAAGTGAGATGGTGGGGCAGAGAGGGGAATATAGGTAAGAGGAGACGGGCTTGGACTCTTTTTCAGTCTGAGGATTTTGTAGTGGTAAAAGTTCTACTGTCTGGCTGCTCTGCTTCTCTGATGTTTCAGCTTTCACCCCCTAATATCTGACTCTGAATTTTTATTATTAAGACCAATCAGAACTCATGTTACATACTGGCACCCAGTGTGAGGCATGAATTCATGAAAAAGCTGCTTGTCTGTGGCCTTGCAGCCACCAGAATAGGCTGTAGCAGCATACAGGGTTCCCGCCGGAGTCACCAGCCTGCCTGGCTAGGTTTTCTTTTCTTTTTCCTCCAAAGTCTGTGAGTGAGTTTGGGATTTTCCTGCTGTACCCTCTGTAAAACAATCTCCACCTGCCACCCAAACTCCAGAAGCACCTGGGCTCCAAACACTACAATACTTACTCACCCTAGGCCAGCTGGCTCTGCCTGTAGGCAGCTCCTGCCACACATGCTCCTTCTGCACAACCCCCTGTGCATTTTTCAGACAGACATCTCCATCTTCCTCATGGGCTGTGGGCTTCCCCTGAGCCCCCTCCTCAAGCTGCTCCCACACTAGGTAGCTGCCTTGACACCCACTCAGACATCTACTGCTGCTGCAACCACCATACACTCTCAACACTCTCAGCTCACAGCTACACGGTTGCAGCTGCAGCCGTCTTCAGCCAGGCTGTGCACAGCTTGTATTCTCGGCTCACACGTGCTATGCAGAGGCAGCCTCATGCTCCACCATCAGTAGATTTGGTGAGACAATTGTGAATTCTTGAAGGGGGTATTCGTTTCAAAAAAAGAGAGTTTTTTCCACATTGAAAAACTGGGAAACACCATTACAGTGGAGGGGTTTAAGTCTCTTTATGATAATATACAGGACAGTTTGAAAATGGAACAATTACATAGAGGATAATTAATTTAGATGGAACTTATGTAATGTCAATTATAAACATTATCATTTTTGTTTTATCACTAAAAGTTGGTTAATATGAGTATTAAGATACAAGTTTTAGAAAAACTTAATAAAACAGATCACAGAGATATCCAGACCCAGACAGAGGAATTTATTGAGAACCAAGTTCAGCATTGCAGAGAGGAACAGCCTAAGGTTTTCAAACAACCAACTTTAATTTATCCAGTCACCTGTAGGAACAACTGCCAAGTGACAGAGGCTATGCAAGAGTTAAATGGACCCCTGTGGAAATGTTAGATTTAAGGAGATTCAAGGAAGTGATAGTCTCATGTGGCAAACATTCACCTTTTATGAAACAAATGTTAAACTCATGGTCAGCTTGTACCAGAACTATCTCTAGAGACTAAAGAAACTTGGTTAAAGAGGTCTTGGAGTCTGGTCCTCAGTGAAAGACCTGTTGGGAAGATGAGACTAAGACCACTGGAAATCTCTTCTTGGAAAGGAAGATTATGCTGATGTACAAAGGCAATCTCTATATGATGGCCACATCCTGAATTTATGCCACACAGCAGCTTTGAATGCTTGGGACAATATTGAAGAAGTAGGAAAGAAAATTGAGTCATTTACTAAAATTATACAGGGCCCAAAGGAAGCCTTCACAGATTTCTTACAAAGACTGACTTCAGCAGTAAATAGAATGATACCAGATTCAGAAGCTAGACAAATAATAACTGAATCTCTGGCTTTTAAAAATTATTGTGTGCAATGCAGAAGTGTAACTAGGCCTTTAAAGGCAAGATGATCAGCATCCTTGGAGGAATGAGTCCGAGATACAATCAATATTGAATCTCATGACCATTATGGTGCATTGATAGGAGAGGTGATTTTCAGAGATCTGAAGAAAAATCAAAATGTCAAATGTTTCAATTGTGGCAAACAAGGCCACTTAAAAGGGAATTGTAGGCAGGGAATTCTTAGAAGCAATGCTTTTTGATAAACATAATTCAAATGGAATGTCCCTCCCTTCTGGATTATGTAGAAGATGTGGCAAAGGCAGTCATTGGACTAATGAATGTAGATCAACAAGGGACATACAAGGTAACCCTTTGCCATCAGGAAATGCCTTGAAGGGCCTCTCAAAGGCCTCCATGACAAATTCATTGCAGTCATTTCCTGTCATTGTGGAGGAAACTCACTCTCAGAGCAATTAAAGAACCTAATGCCTATTACTAGAAACCATACTGCTGTGGATGATAGAAAAGCTATAGAGGAGAGAACAAAAAACTCAAGAGAAACCATAAAGCAAATATACTGGCAAACTTCTATAAAGGAACAAAGACCAAGATTAAAAATACAAATAAATGATTTTGTCATTGAAGGCCTTGTAAACACAGGTATAGATGTCACAATAATTGCACCAGAATCTTGGCCACCAAATTGGCCTCTTTAGGAAGTAAATGTTTAGCTTTTAGGGATTGGAACTTTATCTCAAGTAAAACAGAGCATGAGATGGGTTGAATGTATAGGGCCAGAAGGACAGAGAGGAAAATTAAAGCCATATATGGCTAACATAGCAATGAATTTATGGGGACATGATTTGTTACAGCAATGGAATACTCAGATTAACATTTCCCCAACCTCAGAAACAAACCATAAATTAATGTATGTTTCTGGGAAAAATATTAGAAGGTATTATAAAGTACAGTCAGTCACCAGCCATTCAGGTTGCACAAGAACAGGGTAAACAGCTGCTGATCTTTCAATGTCACCAACAGCCCTACCTTTAAAATAGTTGACAGACGAACCTGTATGGGTCGAGCAATGGCCTTTAACAACAGAGAAACTGCAGGCCCTAGAACAACTGGTACAGGAGTAGTTAAATGTTCAGCCATCCCTTGGAATTCTCTTTTATTAGTTATTAAAAAGAAATCTGGAAATGGAGAATGGTAACAGATCTAAGAGATGTTAATAAGGTGACTCAGCCAATGGACTCTCTACAGTCTGGAATTCCTTTGTCTTCTCTATTACCTAAAGATGGCCTCTTATAGTATTGATTTGAAAGATTTTTTTCACTATACCTTTAAAAGAAAAAAGACAGAGAGAAATTTTACTTCATGGTGCCTACTTATAATAATCCTCAGACTGAAAAGATATCTAGCTGAGATGATCCAGCCTCACAGAATACTCTAGTCAGGACTTCAACCCAATCATGTTTGTTAAAGCAAAATCCAAAATCACTGTCTCATGTCAGAAGAGCCACCTGATATGGAACAGAAGAAAAACAAAAATAAAGGCCTATTTAATCCTTTGGTTTTATTTGGAGTCTTTAAAGCTTTTCTTGAGGTATAAATGTTATCTAAAAATTTATAAGATTAATTTATATATACATATATTAAAGTTTTTGTCATGATATTAATGGTCATATAGAGTACTAACTAATGCTAGAAAAAAGGCTTCATGTAGCTTACTGTACATGATTTTGAATTTTAGTCTCTATCAGATAACTAGGAATTAAGTTCTTGTACTCTAGATGTACATAACAAATATTGATCCTTTAACATCTTTGAAATCTGCCACATATGACATTTAAAATATTTAAGTTTTCTGCAGAGAACCATGATCACACCTAACAGTGACCTTTGAAGTCTCCAAAAGGAGGATGGGGACCCACAATGATAATTCCATCAGAACTGTGACAATGCCACTAAGCTGAAAAACACCACCTAAAGATCTGCTTTGGACAACAAACTACTCAGGACAATTTTGAGGTGGCTATCTGAGGTGATCCAGAGTCACAAAATACTCTAGCCAGGACTGCACTTTCCCATTACATAGAGACTGGACAACAAATGATACAGCTATCTCTCAGCACTTGACAATTAACCCATATTTTTCTTTTCAGGATCCCCTAAAGATGTCATTGCCTCCAGACAGAGGGAATTAAATTTAAGAATATGGGGCCCACATTCCCAAGAGGTGGAGTGGGTGGTTTTGGTCATTTAATGGGTTAAGATATTTGTCATTGTTTAGAGGGGTTGGTTGCAAGTTGTTATGGGTAATGGTCTAGAAAAAAACTGAACAAAGAAGATTAGATTCAGAGTTCTTTTTTTGAAAAAAAAGGGAGATATAAATATGATAGGATATAAAGGTAGATTATTGAATCTACTCTAAAAAGAATAAAGGGGATTATAGGAATAGGATAAGAAGATAGATTATTGAACCTACTTTTGAACCAAAAAAGTAGATATAAATATTTTACATTGGTTTGGATTTTTTGTATATTAAGACAAAGTTGAGATTATTTTTGTTAGAACATACTGTACATAGATTTCTAATCTTGTTCAAGGTACTGTACTTATGCAACTCATTTAACAATGCAATGCAAATTTTTAGCCCTTTAAAGTTATTATTACCAACTATTTAGGATAATAAGGAAATGCAGGTTAGTAATTAGTCACCTATTACAATCAAACTTGCAGTTGTATTAGGTATGTCTTCAAGGTCAACAGAGATATGGTTTAGGTAGACGGGCCATCTTCAAACACTTCAGAGATCGGCAGAATATGGCATTTATGATGATTTAATAACATAGGTTCTTTTTCTTTTTTATGACAATAAGACATATCTGCTCCTGGCAGCACCAATCTACTTCAGAGAAGATGATGGCACTGAAGAAACTCCACATAGAGTTTACTTTCTTTGTGGCAAAATTTACACACTAAGCAAGAAAGTGTTCCTGCCTCAACTGCTGACAGTATGCTGTCCAAATTGAACAAGCAGGACCAAAAGAAAGGACTGCTGAACTTCACCAAGACAAGGTAGGACAGCCCTTCAGAATATCCTGCTTCACAGAAAAGTCTGTCAGAGATGCTAGGCCTGTAGGCCAAAGATGGATGCCCCAATGTTGCAGAGGAAGCTTGGGTGACTATCCAGGCAGCCAGCTCTTTCTGTCATTTCTCACATTTTTTGGAAGTCACCTGCTTGCACTTAACTGCTTACTCAGGTAATATTATTTCCTTCTTGGGTCTATGATGGAGTTGAAGACTTTATAGTTTTCCTTGTTATCAGATTCAGAAAAGAAATTCACTAAAGAAATATAAAGTGTATAATGTTTAGAGACATAAAAAGATAGTTTTGGTAATACAAGTTAAAATAAAAGTGAATTAGATATAATCTTTTGAACTCACCAAGATAGGATAAATATGGGATATTTTTTCTGAATTTTCCAGTTGCTAATAGACCAGACATTGTTGATGTATTTATTGCCTGTATATATTGTAAATAGTCATTGTACTTTTTATATATATTTTTTCTTATATTAGTTATAACCTGTTTATTTTTAGACAAAAAAGGGGGAAATGTGGTGATATCTTGTTTATACTCTAATAAAGCTTGTCTGAAGATCAGAGGGTGGAACTAGCCACTAGTTAACCATAGCGGTTTGGAGGTCTGTACAGACAGGCAGGAAGTGAGATGGTGATGGCTGGGCAGAGAGAAGAATATAGGTGGGATAAGACAGGAATTCGGTCTCTTTTCAGTCTGAGAATTTTGTACAGGTAATATTTGACTCTGGACTTATATTAATACCTATTAGAACTCATGTTACTCTTGTTTGTGTTCAATTTTTGAGACAGAGTCTCATGCAACCCAGGTTGGCCTAGAGCTTGCCATGGAGCTAGAATGACCTTGAACTCCTGGTGCTTCTACTTCCACCTCCAGAGTTCTGGGATTACAGGAGTATACCTTTGTGCTTAGCCAGAGGTGGTTGCTTTTAAATGAGATTAGAGACCAAGAGAAGATACCATGTTACAAGAAGATGGAGGCCAACAGTCAAGTGGCACTTCTTCTACAAGCCAAGAAAAAAACTCAGGACTGTGGGAGCCTAGTGAGAAAGGTATAGAATGGACTCCTCTCTAGAGCCCTCAGAGAGTGTGCCCATGCTGCCACCCAACAGTGGACACATCTCTATTACCTTAAGCCACCTACTTTGAAGCATTTTGTTGGGAAACCCTGGCATGCAGACACAAGTACAGACTATGTTTATGTTCCCTCATATGCAAACATGGTACATGTGGGATTATCTGCCTGATATGTTGTGATAAAATAAAGGGGATGGGGGATGCACAGTCATTATCACAGTGCCATCGTGATGATCATTAGAGAAAGGCCTGCTTCATCGTGCTTCTGCTCCTTTTTAATATCCTGATCTTTCTCCTGCCAGTTTCACAACCCAGACCTTTCACACCCGTCACTGCCATACAGGTCCACACAGAGGCTACTGTCCCTTCTCACACCTGTGTCCCCACAGAGAGCAGAGGACATAACCTGCTAGTATATTCAGGTGACAGTAAATGCTAATGGCAGTCAAATTACCAAGAAGAAATGTAAATCCACTGAGTGTCACAGCTTCCTAACAGGGCCGAGGGACAATGATGACAGAGAAACAAAGGGTTCAAGAATGATGGATCCAGACAGCTGGGGTGAAGGAAGGAGAGCTTCCAACTGCAGGGAAGGAGGATTTCAGAGGGGTTGGCTAGGTATCCCACAAGAATGGATTTGTTTGTCAAAGCCACACATACATGTTGAGCTTACTCTCAGGGTGAAGGCTAGTGTATCTGACACTTGCTTCTTTCTGAAGCTGGCCTCTTGGCTTACAGATAGCCACTTCTCTGTGTCTTCATGTGGCTTTCCTTCTGGGCGAGTCTGTCTTAATCTCCTGATCTTACAAGGACACCAATAACATTGGATTAGGGCCCACCCCAATTTTCTAGTTAATCCTCTTAATTGTCTCTTTAAAGATAGTATCTCCAAATGTTATTCAGAGGCCTTAAGGGTTAAAGTCGCAGCATATTAGTTTGGGGGAAGACACAATTTGGCTGATAGGAAGCATAGAATTCAAAAAGCATTTTATACAGGCACTGTCATGGATATTACCATATCCTTATAGGGTCCTCCTGTCCCTTGGATGCCATGCCCTCTGACCCTCAGGCCTTTGCACACACTGTCCTCTCCATTTGGAACATAATCACGCCCTGTCACCATCACCAGCCCTCTCCAGGGGAATTGCCTGCCCATCTTTATCATCTCTGCCTTGCCATCACCCTAACCCCCAACTCTGGGTCACAGAGTTGATAGATCATCATGGCTTTCTGTACTAGAGTCCTTAACATGTTCTTATCATTCTGGGGACACTAGCAAGCACCTGTCATGGTCCCTTATACATAACAAGTACTCAAACAATGCTGTCAGTGAACTGTTTCCCTTTTATAGTGTAAGTACTAATGGGACAGGGTCCAAGAGCCATTTCAATTGCACTCATCACCATATCCCAAGCATCTGGAGTAATGTCTGTACTGTGGTCTGAACCTGAAACATATCCTATAGGTTTGGATTTTAAGCACTTGCTCCCCAAATGGTGGCACTACTAGGGATGCTGTGGACTCTTTAGAAGGTGTGGTCAAGCTGAAGAAAATGGGTCACCAGAAGACAGCCTTGGAAGTCTACAGCTCAACCCCTGGTCTTCTGTGATATGAACAGCCTCTGCCTTGAGTTCCTGCTTCCACAGACAGGGTCACTCTGCCATAGCTTCCTCACTGTGACACTGTGGGCCAAAATAACCCCTTTCTCCTTTGAGTTGCTTTTGTCAGGTATTTGAGACACAGTAACATGAACGTAACCAATAAGCCCTGGTACTGTTACCAAATGAGAGAATCCATAAAAAGATATTCACAACCACCTATAGAAGTGACACTATGTACATCCCACAGATAAGGAAACTGGGTTTGGGAACAAATCTGTGGAATCCCAGAGCCTGCCCCGATGACTCTTTCTCTGAAGCTTACCCGGCCAGCCCTCTGGCGAGAGAAGGCGTCCACCAATGCCTCAACACCGTAGTCCATCAGCATGGAGGTGTTAAACAAAAACTGCTCATAGCTGTACTCTTGAGAGCCCACTTTGAAGGAGTCAGGCATGAGTGGGTGCCAGTGATAGAGATGGTTGAACTCCACAGCGATGCGATTATGGTACTGGAACTGAGCTCGGAAGAGCAGCTCCGGATCAAATTTGAGCTGCAGGAAGTAGCCACTCAAGTGTTGCACATACTCCTCGATGATAATTTTGATGGTTTCCCCTGTGTGGAGAAGATGGGAAATGGGGTCAATAGAGGTGAGTGTGTGAGAAACCGGACAACTCATGAAAAGTGCTTGCTTTTGTCTCCTTGCTATTGCTGGTATTTATTTATTCCCCTTGGTCACTTCTCCTTTGTGTCCTTGTAAGGGGATGTGAAACAGACTAACTCAGATTTGACTGAAACTCCCAGACAAGGGCATAGCTGCTCCAGAGGGAGGCCCTGAACCCAGTAATGGAGTAATTCAAAAACTGGTTTCCAGGGGCTTAGAGAGAGATGGAAAGAGGTGAAGAGCGCTGGCTGCTCTTCCAGGGGTCCTAGGTTCAACTCCCAGCACCCACATGGTGGCTCACAGTCATCTGTAACTCCAGTTCCAGGAGATCTGATGCCATCTTCTGGCCTCCTCAGGCACCAGGCATGCATGCAATGCACAGATATACATGAAGGCAAAAGCACCAAAATACACAGAATAAATTCAAAAAACAAAAACCTATTTTCCCAACCCTGATGTAACCTCTCTCCTATAGAGCAGGACACGGGTCTAGAGAAGTCACACATGGTGGCACAAGCCCGTAAACCCAGAACTTGGGGGGTCAAGGCAGGAGAGTTGCAAAGTTTATGTCAAGATGCCAACATAAAAAAAAATTATCTCAAAAAATTGTAAGCTGAGAAACTCTGAAAGATATAAAAAACTATGGTGCTGTTTTAGTGAGGAAGGTCATTTCACTGAAACTGTCAGTGAAGGAAGGAGGAGGGCTTCAGAGACACCATCTGACAGCTGTTGCAGCCAAAGAAAGCCACACAGCTGGGCAATGCAGCCCCGGGCATTCGATTAAATGTACTATATTTCTCATGTGTTGTTATATACATTTAGAATCTCGTGGGCAGAGGTGTTCCTTTGATCCCTCAGGAACAAGATATATACAATGCAAACAGCCAAGAAAGAAGTAAGTTGAAGATTCCAGAACAACAGGAAAATGGGCCAGCAGACAGTTAAAGGAAAATAATATCTGGATCAATCAGCCAACAGATGAACTGGCTTTTTAGTAAACTGACCTGGAGCCATGGGATTTGGGGTTAGTAGACATGGGGTTAGCTAGTCACATCCTAGCTTCTTTGTTTTTGTTTTTTGGAGACAGGGTTTCTCTGTGTAACCACTCTAGCTGCTCTGGAACTCACTCTGCAGACCAGGATGGCCTTGAACTCACAGAGATCCATCTGCCTCTGCTTCCTAAGTGCTGGGAGTAAAGGTATGCTCCACCACCACCCAACATCCTAACTTCTTAATATGTAGGTATCTGAGCTTGAGGATCACTTTCCTGTACCGTAAACTGTAGCCTCTGTTAATTCTTGTGTGCTCTCCATATGGCCATGCATCAGATCATGTGAAGAGTAAACAGAGGTGCTTATACTGTTGACACAGGCAGGCAACCTCAGCCATGTCAACACAGGTTAGCTAGAGTCCCAACTTTGGTCACAGTTTCCTCACCAGCCAAGGTGCCGGGCAACCTCTAGCCAGAGATCTGCCCTCTGTGAGATACAGACTTCAGAAGAAAACTCAGCCTGTCCACCCTCAGGCTATTCCTGTGCCTGACTCTACCAGAAGTGAATTAGACACTGTAATTGGGACCAGCCATGCCCAGTAGCGCCCAGAGGTGGTGGGTGACTCATACAGCTATGATCAGGATAGAGGTGTCAGGGTCCAAGCTCCCAGGCAGGAAGCCATCTGACATTTTAGGTTATGGATCCACACCCGTAGGACACACAAAAATATCTTGTCCCTGAGTCACCTAGAATCTACAAAACTCCATAAAGTCTGATAGGCTGAGAGTGGGAAAATTGGGGGTTCCTGAGGGTGGGGTAAGCTGTGGTTTGATCCTGGTGCCCTGGGGATCTTAATGCCAAACTGTGTAGCACAAGGGGGAAAATGGGTACAGTACAGGGAGAAACAAAGTAGGATTTGAGGTGGCCAATCCAATGTGCTCAGAGCCTTCCCACAAGGCATCATAGCAAATCCTTCCAGCAACATAGTCGATCTGAAGCCACAGATCTGAAGCCATAGCCTGGAGGCCTGGGCCCGAGGCCTCAGCCACCAGCGACTGTCCCTCTCACCAATTAACTAAATTTCTTTTTTTTTCTGCTTTTCGCTATTATCTGTTTTTATTTTAATTGGGTTCCTGAGTATGGGTAGCCAAACCTAGCTTGGGGCTCTGGCTTGACTCCCCCAGATTCATTAACACCAGAGTCCTAACCTACCTGTCTCCCAGCTTCTCGGGCGTGCTCACCTATAAGGATGAGACGAGTGGTCTGGAAGAGCTGCTCGTCGTCCCAGGTGGGGTGCTCTTCCTTCAGCAAGTCGCACACGCGGTTGTGCTCCCGCACCCAGATCGTGGAGATGACCATCAGCCCCGGAAGCAAACCAAACACTTCCTGGCCCACAGCCATCTGCTTCTCGGGCGGTACACCCCGTGGGTAGCGCATCAACACAGACGCCTGTTCCACAGACGGTGGATATACCTCTCCGTCCAGCACCTGTGGGATGGAGCCGCCTGGCAACCTGGGGCCGGGCAGGGTAGCTGCAGCTGACTCCAGCCCTCCTCCAATCCCTCTCCATGGCTCTCCACATCCAGGCGCTGTGCCCCAGCTTTCCTTGCTCAGCCCCAGCCCACCAGCCTGCTACTCCCTAAGTGCCTGCCCTAGGCCAGCTCTTGCTCCTAGACATCCTTTTTAGGTACACAGCAGTCAGCGAACCCCTTTTAAAAAGTAAGCAACAAAGCCCTTGAATTTAGTATCACAGCCTAGCTACGTTAGCTTGAAACACTTCCAGCCGCCCTCTGCTCTCAGTAGAGATCAAAAACCTACATACAACTTGCCCCCGTTCCCCTTATGCACCCCTGGGTCTTCCTGCCTCCAAGCCTTTTCACAGCTAAGCCCTCTGGAGAGCTGACAACCCTGGCCTCTTCTTGGCTTCCTCAACTCAGCAGCAACTCTAAGTTCCATGAGAAGCCATCCCAGCCTCAAGGCCCTCTGATGGCACCAACTGGTTGGTGACAGTTATCACAAGAGTAACTAGGCAGGCGTTGGTTTCTTCATCCATTCATGATATATATATAGTACCAAGCTATCTGCCAAGTATTGTTCTCAGCTCTGAAGATGCCCCAATGAATTTTCGTTCCATTCGTTCAAATTCCAATAATCCAACAAAAAAGCCACTAGCCATCTGTGGCCCCTGGGCGCTCCAAATTTAACTAGAGTGAAGACCTCTATTTCATTTAATTTAGATTTTACTTGATTTTTTGTTTTAAATTTTCCTTTTTTAAGATTTATTTTTGTATATATGTATGTATGCCTCATATGTGGGAATGCTTATAGAGGCCAGAAGAGGGCATCAGATCACTTAGAGTTGGAGTTACAGATGGTTATGAGCCCTTTTGTGGGTTCTAGGAAGCAAGCTCAGGTCCTCTGGAAGAGCAGCAAGTTTAACTGTTTTGCCATTTCTGCAGCCCTGTAACTTTAAATCTTACAGCTGATGTTCTAGTTATTGGGTATATGAATCTACTTATTCAATTATAATTTTATGAAGTCTAGAGAGAGATCAGCTACCTCCAATGAAACACTTTTTAAAATTTTGTTACATTTATTTATGTGCACAAGGCAAGAGCACACTGATGCCAAAGCAAACCTGTGGAGGTCAGAAGACAGCTTGCAAGAACTATTCTCTCCCTTTTTTGCATATATCACAGGGATCAAACACTGGTCGCTGGGCTTGGTATTGAGTGCCCTTGCCAGCTGAGCCATCTCACAAGGCCAAATAAAGTGCATTATTAAAATACATCTTATCTGTTTTTCACTCTTGTTAATGTGGTAACTAGGAAGTTTGAATTACATATGAGGCTCATACTACTGTTGGACAGCTCTGATTTACACAGAAATCTTTCTATAGCCCATACCCCAGCATTCCTGTATATAACCCCTGATAGACTGTGGTTCCCCATACACTGGCATTCCTGTACATGACCCCTGATGGACTATGGTTCCCCAAACACTGGCATTCCTGTATGTGACCCCTGATAGACTGTGGTTCCCCATACACTGACATTCATGCTCATGACCCCTGATAGACTGTGGTTCTCCATACACTGGCATTGCTGTACATGACCCCTGATAGACTATGGTGCCCCATACTCTGACATTCATGTACATGACCCCTGATGGACTGTGGTTCCCCATACACTGACATTCATGTTCATGAATCCTGATGGACTGTGGTTCCCCATACACTGGCATTCATGTACATGACCCCTGATGGACTGTGGTTCCTCATACACTGGCATTCATGTACATGACCCCTGATGGACTGTGGTTGTCCCATACTCTGGCATTCATGTACGTGACCTCTGATGCACTGAGGTTCCATAGTGGCTGGGTCTATAGCTAAGATAGATGCTGCTCAATCACCTGCACAAGTCCCATCATGATGCCCACTCTGCAAAGTGGGACAGCAAAATGAATGGAAGCATCTCCAGGAGGCCATGGGAAGCCACCGGAGGCCATCAGAGGCCATGGGGGGATAAGAGGAGCCATGGGGGACCATGAGAGGCCATGGGGGATCCATGGGAGGCCATGGGGAACCATAGGAGGTCATGCATGTTCTTTATTTTCCTTTTGCCTCTTTAGCAGCCTTTGCACTCTGTCCCATTGTCCTACCCAGCCATCTTTGCAAGAGAAAATGAGGGAGGCCCTTCCCACTGGCCCATCCCCAAGCCAACACTACCTGGTATTTGAGTTTCCCATCCTTGAAGAGACGCAGATGATACTGTCGTTCCAAATTATCTCCATAAACGTGGCCAAGGTCTATCTGAGGACAGAGAAAAGTCCATTCGGATCAACTGGATTCTTGCCTGCATGTGGCAATGAGGTCCCTCCTGCATACTCACCCCATGGCCCAAGGCCTTGGTAAAGCCAGGACCCATCTTTCCAGAGGTCTTGAAGAACTGGTGGGTGAAGTGTTGTGCAAAGAAGGCAAACATGATGTTAGTCCCCTGGGGGGCAGGAATGAACTCCCTTCTCAGCAGTAGTCGTTCGGCCAGGAGCTGAGCATCAGGCAACTGCTTCCTCCCTAGTTAGGAAGTGGGAAAGAACAATAGATGCAAGGTCCTGCTTGTATCTTACTGCTCTGGGGACCACTAGACTCCCAGAAGTCCCCAGGCAAATGAGCCCAAGCAGGAAGGCCATAGCATCCTCTTCCCCTCCAGGACCTGTCCTTCCTCACCACAGGTAGGCTGTAACTTGCTCTACTGAAAGAAAGACCTTTAAGTATTTGCCAAGGAGATGGCCTGGTATTTGGAATTTGTTTTAAAATCACCTACCAAGAGCCAGGCATGGTGGTAGACACCTATAATGCCAGCACTGGGCAGGCTGAGGCAAGAATATTTCCAGTTAAAGGCCTGTGCACGTAACAGGGAGACTGTATCCCAAAAATCATACAGGGGTCCAGTAAGATGGCATAGCAGATAACTCCCACAGAAGCCTGACCACCTGAGCTCAAGCCCCAAAACTCCTAATCATCAGTCATACACAGTGTCAAAGTTCCTCATGCTGTTGGCTCTGTGCCCAGAAAGAGAAGCCTTTGCAGAATGGATCTTGGCATTTCTATGAAACCCAAAGGGAGGTACCTCCTGCCAGGAGCTAGGGGTCCTGGGTCTGCCTGGCTTTGCTCTATGTTTTTGGCCAAGTAGCGCTCCTTGAGCCTCAGTTTCTCTGGCCGAACAGTGTGTGAAGGAGGAGATGGACATGGATGAATTGTGTGGCTGTCTAACTTGACTGCTGAAGCATTGCTGAGACCACAGAGATACAGCAAGGGGTGGCAGTCAGAAGGATGGGGGCTGGACACAGGGAGGGACTTCATTGTTGGGGGCTCATGAGGTGGAGTAGGGAAGAAGGAGGGTGGATGCAGAGCTCACACACCATCTCAGGAGATTGCTTTCCAGCCAGGCTTCTTGTGCCTGCACTTGACTTCCTCAAGGTCTTAGAATATAGACTCCACCTTCTCTTAGGTCAAGTCTGAGCTTTTCAGGACAGCTCAGATCTTGGGGTCTCCCCCCTGACACTTGTACTTTATCCTTGGTTCCAAAAAACCTCTTTCCTGGAGTTGATTGCTGAGCCTGGAGAGGATGGTTTGAGAGGAAGCAAAGGGGGATGGACTGTTGGCCTGATATAACTATTTCCTGGTGACCTTTTCTGGCCTCAGTTGCCCCACCAGCAAAGTAGGCATGAGAAACATACTATTCCCTCCCTTTTGCAGAAATGGAAGGCTGGAGACAGGTCATGTTTTCCTAGTATCTAGGTGCTCACAACATGAGGACTGGTTTGGGAGAACCTGCCTCTGACTTTCCTTGTCACCTTAGGCAAGAACCTCAGCTGCCTCTTCTGTCCTCTTCCGGATCCTAGACATGTCAACTGTCTTGCCTTGCTCCACCCATCTATGAAATTGGTCAGTAATATCTCTTCTGCCTGCTTTTTCCTGAAGAGGAGAGCTCAGGCCAGCTCCTTACTCCTGTCCCTTACCTTTGGTTCCCATGGGTGTGGGGCAGTCTTTGGGCACAGAGGGCAGAATTCGAGTATAGTAGCTCACATTGGAGAAGGACTCCCAACTGATGTAGTCATGTGCTAAGTTG